ACTCCTTCCAGCAGTCGTCACGGTTCAAATATCACAGTTTCTCTTGAGGAAAAAAAAAAGGTGTCATATGGCCCACTGCCCTGGACACTTTGTCAGGTGATTTGTATCCCGCCACTCCCCCACCTCCACCTTCAGACGACAACCCTGCCAAACGCAGGGTTATGTGTTAGTCCATCATCTTTTCGCTCCGCCAGCTCATTGTCCCCATTCTCCCCCGGGGAACGTAAGCTCCCTGAGGACAGGCACTCCTGTCTGTTCCCTTGCAATGTCAGTCTCCCCGGTTCTGGTGACACCACCTCGCACGTAGCAGACATGCCGTGAACGTGCTCATTGATCTGAGTTGCCAAGAAATTTGGAGTCTGGAGTCTCAGCATGAGCTTTGTCTCTGAACGCATCGGGCTCTGTTCTCGGCTCTGGCCCCGGCCTGCAAACCGTCGTAGCCTTTTTCCGCCTACGTGGCTTTCCAGTTAGTTTCTCTACTAAACTCATTAGTAGATGCTTTTCTCCATCTTTCTATTTTTCTTTAATTGAAAGCCGCATTACTCATGCATCCATTACTAACTTCCCATGACGTATCTTTTCTGGTTAACACAAAGGGTCTAAATTTTTCTGCTACATCTTAACACAGATGGTTCACTAATGTCAATGGCGTCTAAGAATATTTTTACTGGAATCTGGGGACCCAAGCCCTCTGCCTGCTGTCAAAAGTATATTTATTCAGATCCTAATTTGGTTGGTTTCCCTGTCTCTCTACTCTTTTCCCTCATGAACTGCTTGACTTTCTCATACAGCACGGCTGTTATGAGACATCTTACTCTGGTTGCATCGGAGTTTGGTCGTGGTGCTGGCCTCTCACTTTTAAGCTAGAAGCTTGTGACGTTATTCTGTTCCTGGTCATTAGATGGCATCAGAGGGAGTGTCCAACCACGGTCCCTGCTAAGTGTGGGAGGGTGATGGGAGCCGAAAGCGTCAGCCTCAGCAGTTCCACTTACATTTGTTTTATTTATTTATGCATCCGTGTAAATTTCATTTGGGCGAAGTATTCTGAAACGTATATGTGCGTATATATCTGAATATATGTATATATATATGTGTGTGTGTGTGTGTATATGTTTGTATTTATATATACATTTATGTACGCGTGCACATGCGCACACACACACACACGGGAAAACCTCTGACTTGGTTCCTCCCGGTGACAGACGTTATTAATCAAAAGACAAAGTATTTTAAGTCAGGCGTGGCCTTAGGATTCACTTTGGCCAGGGCAGTGTGCGTGGAGGGGACGTGTGTCACTGGTAAGCTGAAGCATTTAAGAGGCAGTGCTCAATTCTTCTGGCTTTTTCTTCCCCCATGGCAATCAGTGATCATGGACGTTTGTACCAATGAAGAGGTGCACAGGAGAGAAGCAGCCTAGACTGGGAATCCACCTCGGAGAATCCCCAAACTCAAAACAGACCTGATTTGAGCAAAACAAGGAGGGAAAAAACCATATGTGTTAAGCCACTGAGATTTTGCTCTAATTTCAAAACTTCACATTTCCTGGCCGTGGTACACCCTTACACAGACGGCGAGGAATAAAAGGCCAAGGGGAGGACATGGCGATGACCCAGCTGAGACCAGAGCCGGAAGCAAGCCAATGACTGGAACCTAGGACTCTGCACTCCGTGCTCTGTGTTCATCTCCCTGCAATTCCCTGGACCCCTCTGCTTCCTTAACTGCGGTGGAAACAGCATGTGGCATCAGGAAGAGTTTCTGGGTGAGTCATGAAGAGCATAAGTTGCCCAGCGTTTTCCTGTCCTGCAAGGTCTTCCCTACTTTACCTGTCAAGTCAGAGACGGAGGGGATGGCAGCAGGTCTCGGTAAATTGCGGCAGTCAGTATCATCACCAGTAATCATCTCGGCGAAGAATCCAACATGCTTGGGACTTGAATAGACTCTGGGGTGCCTGAAACTATCGCTGTAGCAGTGGAAGATGTCCAAAAGGTATGTTTTCAAATCCCAAATTATTCACCGTATTACTGAAATACGAAAGTGAAGTGGTTCATGAAACAGTCCACATTTTGAAGGGGCAATGAAATATTCTCAGCACGTCTGGTCGTATGCCTGCTCTCTCCCCTCTAGGTCTGCACAGAGCAGGCAGGATTCATCTTTCCTCCCCTTGTAGCTCCGGGAGTTACAGGATCATAGATGCCGAGCTGCACGTAGAGCTGCTACAGACACAGCACGTGGAGGTGAGAAGTAAGGACAAGATGCATGGCTGGACAGTATTGCTTTTCCTTTCCTGGTATGCAGTACACACACACACACACACACACACACACACACCACACACACACACACACACACACACACACACACACACACACACCCAGATTAAGATTTCTCCACTTGGATGAGTTTAGAAATCTGTCTGTGATTTCTGGAAACTAGAAACATGAGAATTACCAGGATTTTAATTTCAAAGATTTTTTTCCTACGTTCTTGGCACTGGTTGTGGAAGACTGCACAGATACGGTGCTCCAGGCACTTCCGTGGGCCGCATAAAGTATTTGCCCAAACTGGCACACTTTGGAGAGTGGAATGGGGCAGGACTGTCCTGGGCAGATCGGAACGTGGTGTCACTCTCCCTATACGTGCTCTTACAAGAGGTTGTGAACACAGTGCCAGACAGATCTGGGCAGGTGACACACTGGCTGGTTGCAGCCTTTGGCCAACCGGTGTTGCCCCACCTGAAAGGGCGTCTGCCAGTTGGTTCAAGATAATCGTTCCTAGGCATGAATCTGACCAATTGCCAAGTCTTCCCATTTTTAAAAGGAAACCGGTATTTGTATGTGTACGCTTCAATTTCTAAATATTATCAGTTCATTAAAAAACTCAAAATACCACAAAGCCCAAACACATCCTTAAAATTCTAGCTTGGGGGTCACCAGGTTTTGACCTCTGTCTTAATTGAGAACTGCCACCCTGAAAGAGCGGGAGAGGCTTCTGGGGACAAGGTAAATCGTCACTTCCATGAGCTTTTGCAGAAAAGGTAAAGAATTGGAAGATTTACACAGTTCCAAAATTAAGGAATTAATCCCTTCATTTAAAAATGATAATAGAATATATCTTTAAATAAATCTGGCTTTGCTTTTACTGAAATCCATTATTTCCTTTAAAAACGATTTTGGCTGTTGGGACTAGCCTGGCTGATTTTATTGGGCACAACAGTGTGGGGCTTAACCTTCACCCCTGCAGGAGTGAGTAGGAATGAAAATCTTTCCTTTAATCATGAAGGAAAAACTTTTCCTTCTCGCTGTTCTCCGTGGCTGCCCAGAAGACGATCCCGTTGTTACATCAGCCAGAACGGCGTCATGTGGCCACTAGCTGCAAAGGATCATGGGGAAGGGGAGTGGGCAGTGACCGGTTTGGAGCAAACATGACCCCAAGGGCTGAGCACACCATGGCCCCAAACAAACTGAGGGGTCTTAGCAAGAAAGAAGAGAGGAATCAGTGTTAGGTCAGTCAATCATGTCTCTCATAACTGCAATTCATTCATTCATTCCTTCATTCATTCATTCATTCATTCTATAGACATTTTTTGAGCACTTATTAGTAAGTGCCAGGCCCTTGGAACACAGGAGTAAACAAAAGAGGCACAGATCTCTGACCTCCCCCACTGAGTTTACATTCTTGGAGTGGAGAGGATAATTTTAAAAGGTAATTCATCATAGTATTTTAGAAGTTGATCAATGCTTTGAAGAAATTGGACAGAAAAGGAGGATGGAGGGTGATGAGACCGAGGGTGGGGTTGTAATGTGACATTGGGTAGTCTGGGAAAGAAAGACTTCCAAAGGAGGGACATTTGATCCAAGAACTGGAAGATGTCTTGGAGTAAGTCATGTTTCTATGTGGGGGAAGAGCATTCTAGGCAAAGGGAATGGCCAGTGCAAAGGCCCTGAGGGTAGGAGTGGCCC